ACAGAAGCTTCTCAGTTTCAGGAGGTCCCATTTATTAATAGTCGATCTCACTGTCTGTGCTACTGATGTTATGTTCAGGAAGTGGTCTCCTGTACCAATTCGTTCAAGGGTACCACCCACTTTCTCTTCTAAGAGGTTCAGTCTGGCCGGATTTATGTTGAGGTCTTTGATCCATTTGGACTTAAGTTTTGTGCATGGGGATAAACATGGATCGATCCGCATTCTTCTACATGCCAGCCACCAGTTTTGCCAGCACCATTTGTTGAAGATGCTTTCTTTTTTCCATTATATATTTTTAGCTTCTTTGATAAGACCTGGTTTCAATGACCAGAATGCAAAATAAACAGCTCACAAGAATCTGTGATTTCAGTATCTGGGGATCTGGCTCCATCTTCTGGCCTCCATCTGCTGGCCTCTCATGGCTCTGCACACATGTGTTGCACTTACATGTATGGAGGCATAACTGTAATACAAAATGCATTGTACTATCCTGTGGTAGACTCAAAAGAATATGTATCTATGTCTGTTTAATGGGTTCTTCATCATGTTTTTAAGTGTGCCCTCTTAGTTTTGATTCAAATAGTAGTGAATTTGGGATATATTTTCTAATGCTTTAATAGCTGTTGGGGTGGCATGAAGTACAGCCTGGGGTATTTCTCAGATATGTGCTAAGGTCCTGAAGTGTGACTACTACTTTTATCCTTCCAGGAATTTCTTTAGAGTTCCATCTTATTCACATAGTATCAGAACCTCAGGGGAACCCACTATTCCCATGGAAACTGTTGTGAGAAACAGCACGGAGGGTGGGGGGCACTCAAGGACAATTTTGTTAGTTTGATAAATCTTGCCTGAGAGAAATAAAGGAATCTACACCAATTGTAAGTAACCATGTGCTGAAAACTTGAATGTGTTGGTTCCTACAAAGATAGGGATGCCTCACAATTTCAGATATATCATTCCCAGCCTTTGATCAGTATCTGAAATAACCAGATATAGGAAGCAAGTTTCAGAAGAGTCATGATTTTCTGAGCCAGAACACAGAAGAGGAGGCAGATTCCATGATAGTGGCACTGCGGTGTTTCCGAATGCAAGTTCTGGAGTTGGCTGCTTAGAATTTGGGAAGAAATCCAGTTAATTATTGTTAGTGTTTATTATAAAACTGTAATTACTATTGTGTGTCTGTTTGAGTGTGTATGCAATTTGTGTGTGGACATACACACACACCTATTACTTGGAGGCCAAATGAGAGAACTCATTATCCTCTATAATTCTCTGCATATTCCTTTGAGGTAGGGTCTCTATCTTAGCATGCACCTGGCATTCCTCCAGATAGACTGGAAGCAGCAAACTCCATTATCCCTCTGTCTCCACCTCCACTTTGGAGCTGGGGTTATAGGTGTGCTTGGGAAACCAGACTTTTAACTGTATACTTGGGTACAAATCCTAGCCATCATGATGTAGCATCAAGAGCTCCCCGCTACTGAGCTACCTCTCCAGAGTCAATTATATCTAAGAATTTCTTTCTATTTTTCCTATTTCTTATTCAAATTAGAAACAAGCTTATTTCACATGTCAATCTTAGCTCCCTTTCCCTCCCCTCTTCCCCTGCCCCACCACAACTCCCTGTTCCTTCCACCTAATCCCCCTTTGCTCCTAGGGTGGTTGAGGCCCTCCGTGGGGATCTCCAGAGTCTTCCATTTCATCTGGGGCAGGGACTAGGCCCTTCCCTATGTGTTCAGGATGAGAGAACATCCCTCTATGTTGAATTGGCTCCCAAAATCCATTCATATACCAGGTATAAATACTGATGTACTACCTGAGGCCCCATAGATTGCTAAGGCCTCCTCTCTGACACCCAAATTTAGGGGGTCTGAATATGTCCCATGGTGGACTCTTAGTCATCAGTCTGGGACCCATGAGCTCCCCCTTGTTCAGGTCAGCTGTTTCTGTGGGTTTCATCAGCCAGGTCTTGACTCCTTTGCTCATCACTCCTCTTTCTCTACAACTGGATTCCAGGAGTTCAGTTCACTGTTTAGCTGTGTTGTCTGCCTCTGCTTATGTCAGTCACTAGATGAAGGCTCTAGGATGACATATAAGTGGTCAATCTCATTACTGGGGAAGGGCTTTTAAGGCATGCTCCCCACTATTGCTTAGTTTTCCAGTTGGTGTCATCCTTGTAGATCTTTGGAAATTTCTTTTAGATTACTTTTTCTTTTCTGTGAAGGGGTGTTTCACCTTCTCATATGTCTGTGTACCATGTGTGTGTCAGATACCTGTAGAGGTCAAAAGAGGGCATTGAATCCCCTACAACTGGAGTTAAAGATAGTTGTAGACTACCATGCATGCTGGGAACCAAAGCCAGGTTCTCTGAACTATGTACTAACCTCTGATCCATCTCTCCAGCTATTCCAGTTTTAACTTTTGAGCTATGATTCTGTTAAAGCTGATCAGCAATCTAAAACAGAAGTTCTCAACCTTCCTACTCCTTGTTTTATGACTTATTGTTACCACATTTTCACTATTCTGACAAAGCAGATTAACGTTAAATGTATTCAAGCTTCATTTAAATAACAGCAAATATAAGAAGTTGCTTTTATGCCAAAATTAAGTTGGTGATCATTTCTGATACACTAGCTTTTATTTTATTGATACACAAGATTTCCCAATGTGGACTCAACAGATGGTTTGGTATAACTTTATATTAAGTAGATTTCTTTTTAGGAATAATCTGGTTCATTAGTATGTTGAAAAAGTGTATGTATTTTTGATGTTGTACAAACACATTTCTCTGTATAGATTCATTCACATTCAAATATTAAAGCTGATTCTACATAAAGGCAGATTCTTTACTTACACATTTACCCATCTGTGGGCTGAAAATAGTGGAAAGGCATTTGGGGCTGAGTTTGGCCCACGCAAGCAACCCTAGCACTTCAGATACTGAGGCATGAGATGACAAATTAGAGACAACTTAAACTACATAGTGACTCCCACATCATACTGACCTACATAGCAAATTACTGTCTCGAAACAAAAACATGTAAATTAAACATGTAAATTTCTTCTTAGCACTATTTCATAAATAACATCATGTATTGATCACTTTCTAGCCTTTAATTCCTAGTAACTGCATTGCATTCTAACGTGAGATAAAGTTTACAAGAGGGTGAGAGTGGGTTATTTGTAAACACTGCACCATTCTTCTCAATGGATCCCAGCACTGTGGTGTCATGATACTCCTGGGATCAATTCACAGTTGGTGCCCAAATGGTTTCATTGTGAGGTATTTTCCCAACTGCCCATACTATAGTTGTGACACAAATGAGGGATCACTACTAGGACACAATTACTTTCTCCTCCCATGTCACCAAGTGGGTGGGTCAGGACTACTCTTTGAGTGTTGTGAGGAGGCATTGGACAGGTTTAAGGGTAGTCACTGAAAGCATGTTTCTTGATTGTTGTTCCAGAACTGTACAGACTGAAGGGTATGGACTAGAATCTATATCTGTATTTACATCTATATCTATATACATATGTATGTCTAGTGTATATCTATATCCACAGTCACATCATGTCCATATCAATGTCTATATTCATAACTGTGACTGAAGTGGCAGGTTAAACTGCATCCAATCAACAGTGAGAATTTTCTTCAAACACTAGACAAATAAGAAAAAACTCTTTAATATTGCACATCTGATTTTGGATAACTTCTTAGAGAAACTGGACTCATACAGCAATCTTTAACAGCTTTTGTGGAATTAGGCATTATCAATCTCCGTGTGATGTCATGTGTCTTTTAGGTTAAATTTGACTTTGAGGTGTTAAACATATGTTACAGAGATAAGAGCTGCAATTCTGGCTATTTCAGATGAATGGAGACTGATCACAAAGATATTATCATCATTAATTTTAAAGTAGACCAGTGTTGTTCCTTTTTGAATCATGTTACTTGTGTCTCAATCACTCTTCTGTTGCTGTGAAAAGTCCCCATGACCAAGGAAGCCCTTATAAAACAGCATTTAGTTGGAGCTTGATTGTGGTCTATGATGTTTAGGTCACTATCACACTGTTAGGAGCATGACAGGTACTGGAACAGTATCTGAGACAAACATCTTTTACCATAGGAATAGAAAGAAACTCTGGGCTTAGCATGGACTTTTAAAATCTGAAAGCCCACCCCCAGTGACACACCTCCTCCAACAACTTTACACCTCCTAATCCTTGTCAAAATTTCAATAGTACCACTCACTGGTGACAAAACTTTCAAATATGTGAACATACATGATGAATCCTATTCATAAAACTGCACCCAGTACCACTCTGTCCTAATGGAAAAATTACTCTTCCTGAAAAGAGACCCAGGACTTAATGGTCATTGTTCCCCACTTTGAACTTCCCAGTAGAGCCATTTTATTTGATATGGGAATGGAGCACAATTTGCAACAATCTTTAAAACAGATATTAACCGAAATATATTCTCAGAAGTCTAAACTGCAGCAAGCCTAAACTACAATTATGTTCAAGGTACAACTATTTTCCTGTAGTTTCTAACATGTCTGGTTCCTTTACTACATATCGCTGACTCATATTAGAGGCAGTGCTGCTTTAGCTAAACCCTATCTTGTGCAACTTAACATTTCCTCAGCAAGCTTAAAGGTAAATTCATTGCAATGCCAATTCATCACTTTCAGTTTTCCTATATCACATCTATATCTTGTTTATCTATTGACACAGGCTGGCTTCCAGATCAACAGCAGCCACAGATGATTTTCAACCCCAGATCCACCACATTTACTTCCACCATATTGTTCAGAATGTCCAACAACGATGCAGACATTCATAGTGGTGAATTAACACTGAAATTGCTAGATCATCAGAAGGAATACAGTAGCCAGGGGAGGATTCCCATTTAACCAATATGCATCTTAGTGTTTTAACTGTGTAACAACAATATCTGCCCTGAATAACCACAACAATGGTTCCCTCATGCTTTGCAGTTTCAAGAAAAATATGGAGATGTGTTTACATTGCACCTGGGATCAAAGCCAGTGGTCATGTTGTATGGGACAGAGGCCATAAGGGAGGCTCTGGTGGACCAAGCTGAGGCATTCTCTGGCAGGACAACAATTGCTGTGCTTAAACCTACTTTCATGGACTATGGTAGGAGTCTCAAATTTTGGAGTGAAATGTGATGGAGAATGGGCACAGATAGAGGAGAATCAGATAGAAGGGTGGGCAAGGGCAGAGAAGGATCCAGGTTTCTTTGAACTTCCTCTGTAACTCAACCATATTTCCCTTACATTCTTAGGTGTTATCGCTGCAAATGGGGAACGCTGGAAGACCCTTCGGAGATTCTCTCTAGTTACCATGAGAGACTTTGGCATGGGAAAGCGGAGTGTAGAGGAGCGGATTCAGGAGGAAGCCCAATGTTTGGTAGAGGAGCTAAGGAAATCCCAGGGTGAGTCCCAATTGATGTACATAAAAAAAGATGGTGAAGCAAGAACATAAGTGCATATCCAAAGAAAGAAATGGGACATACATGGGCAGAGAAGAAAACACCTGCCCACACAAACACAAAGACACAGGCACAGGCACAGTCATACACACCACACACACACACACACACACACACACACACACACACACACACACACACACACACACACTGACACTGGGGAGAGAAGGAGACAGTGGGAGAATAACAGAAAGATAGGGGAAGTTTCGTGATACTCAGAGCATTTAAGAATAACTCAGAGACATATATTGAGTCATTGGCATGTAGGCTACTTATCTTCAGGGAAATTGATGCCTGGGTTAATACTATGTGCCAGTCTGGCATGGTGGCATAAATCTGTCCTCCCAATACTCAGTGGACTGAGACAGGAGGGTTATACATTCACCGGCAGTTTCTTGTGTTATCCTTAATACCACAACATTGGCATGTTGTCCCATGCTATTTGTGTTGGTATATTTCAGTTTTAGGCAGAAGATTAGAGGGTAGCGGTCTTCCTTGATTTCATATGGTATTCAAGGCCATCTTGATTATACTAAACAGTTTCAAAACACAGTCTATGGCCAAGCCACGTGTTGGAAGTATGGAACTGTGTTTTTCCTTGTGGATTCCTTCTGAATGGGACAATGAACAAAGAGTCCATGTAATGTGTTTTACTTTGTGAGAATTAAAGACATTTCTGTGTACTTATAGAAACTACATATCAGGGCACACTGTTGACAGAGTCTGTATTTAACAACTCTTTTCTTCAGGCTGCTGCTTGTCATCTTCAAAGGTTTCTCAGGAGACATGAGACATAGATGCTGAAGATAGTAAAGGATATCAAGAGACTAAAAAGACAGGAGAAATAAGGGTGACATAAACCAAAATACTGGTATGGAACTTACTGGATCAAACAGAAAAGAATATACAGTGGAGCAGGAACAAGGAGAGCAGGGAGGGGAAGAGAGTAGACAGTGTGATGGAAACAAGAAAGAAACTGACATGCATCAGGGAAAGATCTTCAAAGCCATCAGGAATAATAAACAGATGAGACCCAGAGAGAGTGGCAATAATGGCCCAATACTGCTGGACTGATAGCATCCCTCCCACTATGGAGACCAATGAAGAAACCTAGAATGTAAAGGTGCCAGGTGCAAGATGATGATGGTTCTTGGAATACCCCAGAGCCGAGAATCAGAGAAGAAATTGAGGAAGACTCACAGATGAGAGACTACAAAATCCATAAAACAAACCATTGAACCATTCTGTGTACCATTCCTGCAAGTGGGAGTTACTGATTGGATCAGAGTCAGAATGTTGGTGTAGGAAGGAGTGCAGGATGGGAAGTAATTTACACATGCTCTCCTCACATCCATGAGTCTCTGTCATGGTCCCAGTCATAAGTAGCTGTGTTAAATTGGAAAAGTTAGTGACTATCTATGTGTATACTAATATCATTGCATGTTGTGTATAATACTGAGAGGAAACTAAATAAAAGGGTGTATGCAATCCTGAGAGCAGGACCTGGTGCATCATATGTGAAAATGGGGTAGCAAGTGATGCCATTCCTTGAGTAGTGATTGGTGGAGACAGATTTATGGAGATGGGACCAAGTCCAAATTCTCCTCTTGATGCCATGTCTCCTGTCTTGACTTTTCACCATCCAGGAGCACCTCTGGACCCCACCTTCCTGTTCCAGTGCATCACAGCCAATATCATTTGCTCCATTGTCTTTGGACAGCGCTTTGACTACAAAGATGGCCAGTTTCTGCGCCTGCTGGGATTGTTCTATCAGACCTTCTCAATCATTAGCTCACTATACACTCAGGTTAGTGGTTGGGAAGAGAGAAGCATCCAAGGCAAAGGAAATAAGATTCTGTTGTGTTGGTGAAGAAGGTCTGGAAGAAAGACACAGATTGCATGGAGAGACAAGAAGATTGAGAACAGGAGGGAGTGGTGTGGTGATATCTTTCTTGAACAAATCCACTATATCTGACTCCAGCCTTTTCTTTTCTAGAGCAACTATGAGTTCCATTTACAGAGAGAGGTATGGGATTCAGGGCAGAGACAACATGGAGATGCAAGCAGCCTGAGTGCAGTAGGGAGAAAGGAAAGTGGTTAACAAGATGGAGACAGCTGAATACAGAGATACAGAGTCATCTAGACATGGAAAAGTGATGACATGGGAATTGTTTTGTTGTTAAATGGGTAGAAGACATGTCTCACATGTTTTAATACATGGGTCCATTTATAGGACAAAATAACCCAGATTATGTTTGTTACACATATGCAAACCCAGCACATCCAAGATCAGTGATGAAGGTCATCTTTGAATAAGTATCCAGTTGAGTACAGCCTGAAAGACAAGAGACCCTGATTGATAAAGAAATGAAAATCAAAATAATGGATTAGGAAAGAGTGATAGAGAATACAAGACAAGTGTTGGAGAAAGAATCAGAGACACAAAATGATAGCATGCCATATGTATGTGTTCATGAGAGGCAAAACGAAGGAACAAGAGTTGAGCAAATAGTGGTCAGAGCATAGGATGAAAGGAGAAAAAGTTTATCTTCAAGACATATCAGAACCTAGGAACACATTCTGCTTCTTGAGAACTGATAGCTCCAGGTGACCTCCTGGTCCTTTCTTTCATGCAGATGTTTGAATGCTTTCCCGGTTTTCTGAAGTACTTTCCTGGGACCCACGTACAAGTTTCCAAAAACCTGCAGGAACTCCTTGACTACATTGAACATAGTGTGGAGAAGCACAGGGTAAACATGGACGCCAGTAATCCAAGAGACTTCATAGATACGTATCTTCTACGTATGGAGAAGGTAAATCCTGCATGAATGACAGAGCAGATAGGTAAAAGTAAAGGCTGAGGGTGTGAGCAGAGGAAGCGAGTTCAGGGAGACAGAGAATGGGAAGGATGGACAAGAAATTGAGTGAAAGAGATGCACTAGAATCTAGGAAATGAAGAATAGAGAAAGGGATAAGGAAATGAAATAGGGAGAAAGAAGGTTGTAGAAGAAACAGTGCAAGGGACAATAAAACAGCAAAGGTCTCAGAAGAAGAGAGAGTTTGGTAGACAAAACATGATAAACTACCAAAGAGCAAAGTATAGAGAGACGACATAACACACTGATAACAAGAGACACATTCAAGGTTTGAAAAATTCCATGTGGTTCCCATAATGTGAGACAGAAGGAGAGATCCCAGCATGTGTTTATCTCTTTGTGAGGCTCCAGTCACCACTGACCCTCCCTTCTCTCTCCTATCTGGAACCAGGAGAAGTCCAACCCACACACGGAGTTCCATCACCGGAACCTTGTGACTACTGTGCTGTCTCTCTTCTTTGCTGGCACCGAGACCAGCAGCACCACGCTCCGCTATGGCTTCCTGCTCATGCTCAAATACCCCCATGTTGCAGGTGTGTCACAGACAACAAGTGAGGGAGCTTCTAGCTCCCTTTTGGCTTTGGAGTTTTGTGTAGATGAGAGAGACATGTGCCTCTTACATCTGGGACTCTGAAGGGTTTGGTCTACTTGTAAACTAAGACAGTGTTGTGGGTCATGTGTGAATGAACACTCAGTTTACTATTGCTTAACGGGTGATACATCAATCAATCCAAATTTCATTTCCACTTTATTTCCTTCCTTCCTTTGTTCCTTCCATCTTTACATTTTTCTATTCATTCACCTTTCTATCCATGCACCCCTTCATTCATGGGCTTATTCTATTTGTTCACCCACATGTATGTCCACCCATTTGGCATCCACCTATACCTTCATTCATTTTCCCATCTGCCTAAGCCATTTATCTTTCCAAATATCTAGTTACTCAACCATCCTTCCATCCACACAACTATAATACTTATTCATACACACACATCCCCCATACACATTCACAATATGCCCCCATTAAATACTATTTCAATCCACTGACCAGTTGATTCTTTAATCACCCTACAAGTCACTTCATTAATTTGTTTCAGTTAATCAACTTAGTCTTTCCTTTGATCAGTAGAATTACATAAATTATTTGTCATTGATTCATTCATATACTCATCTGTACTTCTATTAACCTGTTTGATTCCTTACACACTTCACTAACTCACTTTTGAATTCATCTTTCCTTTGTCATCTATTCCTACATGTTGGATCATCTGTTTACTTAAATGTGTTCAATATCTATTCATTTCATTAACTCATGAAACTGTCTACTTATCAGTTGATTTATTCACTGATTTCCTTATGTATTCCTTTTACACTCATCTGTTGATACTGTCATTGGCTAATCTACTTACTTAGTTATATTTCCAAGCATAGAGCCTCGAGTTATTAACCTAAATTTCCATGTAATGTTGTGGGACATGAATGAGTGGTAGTGTTCCTGTGTGTGTTTGCTCTTGTATGTGCATTTGTATACGTGTGTATGTGTATTTTATGTGTGCTTGAGTGTACGTGCTTACGAATATGTGTGTGTGTGTAAACAAACAATTCATTCCCTTGCAAATGTGAGAATTTTTATTGCTTTTCCTCTGCTCATTCTCACACCAATATGATTGCTTCAAATTTTTCAAATGCAGTAGTACTTTGCTGTATGTCTTTTCTCTTTTTAAAATAACCCTGAAGAAATATGGTTGGAACTCGCTGAGGACAGACTTCATATACTTTTAAACATGAGCACAGAGGGACAGTAGCTTAAGTGCAGGACAGTTTAGTACCTTCAAGTACAAATTTTTTCAGGATAATCTCATTGCTGCCCTCCTTTCTAGGTTGTTGCTCATAGAATAACACCTTTGCTACAAATCTGATGAAGTAGATCCACTCTTCCCCTTTTATTTGCAGAGAAAGTTCAAAGGGAGATTGATCATGTGATTGGCTCCGACCGCCCACCAAGCCTTGACGACCGCCCCAAAATGCCATACACTGAGGCTGTCATCTATGAGATTCAGAGATTTTCAGACCTTGTCCCAACTGGTGTGCCACACAAAGTCAACAAAGACACTTACTTCCGAGGTTACCTGCTGCCCAAGGTGAGGCCAGCTGCCATTCCACATTCTTATATTATGAGCCTTCTGCATTCTCCTCATTACTATTACCAGTCTGTTGTCAATTCCCCAGAATTTCAGGTGTTTTGTTGATTGATTGTATGTCTACATCTGTGATTTAGGGAGTATTAACATCTTTGTATCCCATAATGTCTCATAGGACACTGAAGTGTACCCCATCTTGAGTTCAGCTCTGCATGACCCAAAGTACTTTGAACAACCATATACTTTCAATCCTGACCACTTCCTGGATGCCAGTGGGGCCCTGAAGAAAAATGAAGCTTTTATGCCCTTCTCTATAGGTGAGATGGTCCTGTGCTTCCTCTCTTAGACACTAGAGGGCAGGAAAATACTGCAGGACACAGACAGGGTTAGGTCCATGTTTACTGAGTCTATTCCAGTTGCTTTGTCTGAACAATTGTATTCAATTAGCCTAAATTCCCATAAACGACTTTTGAACTAAAGGTGTGTCCTGGTTGTGAAGACTTTTGGGAAGTATTCAAAAGCCTCTAAACCTAAGCACATTCATTTTCTTAGTAAACCACAGCAAGATCAACTGACATCAACTTCAACAGGGCAAGATCTTTATGGCAGGGGAGTCATTGACCCTAGAGCTGTGAGCATTAGAGAGATGTGGCATGTCTTGACAAACTTGCCCCTGTTTCACACTCTTGTTAAATTCTATGATACATCAAAATTACTAGCATTTATGTGAGCCAAGAGTGCATTCATGGTGGATAATATCCTGAACCAGAGAAAGATCCTAATTATAGCATCTATCAGTATGAGCGTGTATTCTTTTCATACAAGAGGGATATGGGCATGGGCACGGACACACAGCATGATTGGTGCCAGCTCTGATTTTGCATGACTTGTTCATGCTGGAGTAGTTTGCAGCCTGGGATAAGTCAACTGCTATTAGTGACTGAGAGTAGTTCTTCACTGGGAGAATTTAATCTCTAGTTAGTGAGTAATTCATTTACCTGTTTCATTTGGGTAGCATGTTACATAATAAAGCTGCCTCCAATGAACTTTAATGAACTCTATGGAATGTAAAGATGGAAACTTCCTATTCAGAATCCTTATCTTTTTGGAGAAATGGGTGTTCTAGAAACAAATACTTAACCTTTTCTTGTCCCCCTGCATGAATGTCCTTATATTAGCGGTGGAATCCTGGGCTGAGTGTGTGTTAAACAATTATCTTTGAAAGAGCCCCCAATCCAGCCTCTCCTTGCTGTATTCTAGAAGACATATTCCTGCTGAGCCTCTCTGCTCTCTATCATCCCCAAACTGAGGATCATTCACAAAGTGTTCTCCTGCAGAGAAAGATCTCAGCTAAGAATAGTCTAGTCTTGAGTTTCCATGTCATTTCATTGACCCCTGCCTCTGTCCCATATAATGGCCTCCTTTCATATTTCATCTTCAGAGATATAGACATGCAGGGCATGGTGTAAAAGTGAATTGTGAGCATAACAGACCCAAGTTTAAAAAGGACTGAATGCAGAGAAATTGGATAAAGGAAGACATGAAGCAATGCATGACTAGATATGGCTAGACAGAAAAGGATGTGGGATTAGGATGTTAGCTAGTAAGTTTAGAAAAAGCAAGCAAAAAAGAATTTATAAAAAGACATACAGTGATGATAGGTACAGACACAGGTTCAGGTAGACTGAAAGCAAGCAAGGATAGTGAGCAAACAGCAATACAAAAGGATAATAGAGCCAATGAGCTTCATAGTTTCTAAGTCTACAGCTCCAGGCATGGGCATATTATGTTGAGAGAGAGATAAGCCATTAAAAGCTTCTCAGAAAAAAAACAGGTCAGAAAACCAGTTTTAGGGTAACCATCCCAGAGAGATACTCCATGAATTTCTAAGCTCATAACACCTAAATTCTGGAAATTTATGCCCAAGGGGATAGTGTGATTTCCCTATACACCCATACACAGGCAGTTTCTGAGTAATTTTAGGGCACTGGGGTTGGTGGGAAATCCCTCATCCACTTGTTGGATGTTGCAGATTGAGAATCCCTGAGGTGCAGTGCAGGTGGTGGATTGAGACTTTGCCTGGGCTTAGGCTGCCCATGCTCTATGGTGCTTGATGTTCAAGGTGACAATCCAATAAGGGGTTCTTATTCCCCTTAAGAATCCAGTGAGTGCCACAGATGTCTTACCATGCATGTGCCCCTTGCTTATTGTCAACTGTATATACAACTGTGGTTGTAGACAGTAGAGGTGAAGAACAGAGGGAAGGAGGGGAGAGACAGAAGAGACTCCCACACAAAGGTCTTGCTATGTAGTCTAGACTGTTCTGAATTCATCATTTTCCTGTCAGTCTCCCAGTGATTGCATTCGCTGTCATGTACATCCATGTTGAGTTTATTTAGGACTCATAGCACTATATAGTTGGTAATCTAGAAATTTTTAATAAGCAGTACTTTCACCTTCTTGGTAGCCATTGTTAGGTACCAATCCCATCACATGAAAAAGGAGGAACACTAAAAATGTTACATTATACTGGTGTACACATATACATTTGCTTCCTACTGTAAGTGGGTTCTTAGAGACATGAATGAAAGGCCTCTGGTAATCTAACAAAATGTACAAATATGTCATTAGTGACCTTGAGGCATCCATCAGCACGCTGGCACACATGTTATGAATTATTTATTTATTGTGTTTATGGATATATTAATAGACATGTGTGCTGTGGTGGTGCCAGTGGTGGCGGTGGTGATAGTGGTGGTGCTGTGTGTGCGTGTGTATGTGTATGTGTGTGTGTGTGTTTATATCAGAGGACAGCTTGTGGGAGTTGCTTCTCTCCTGTAACATGCGGATCCAGGGTATTGAACTCATTTCATCAGGATAAATGGCAGGTGCCTTTCCAGGCTGAGATGTGTCACTGTCCCTTGCCCCAATTCTATAAAGTTTTGAGAGTTTCTTACTACTCTCCTTTGAATTGTAGGTGATGGTCAAACACATCCCTTTTCATTGCAATGGAAAGAGCTCTCTTGCTTTAGCAATGGTACAGTCCAATGGTTGTACATGCTCTGGGTCTCACATGCCTCGTTCTCTGTGCCTACAGGAAAGCGCATTTGTCTTGGTGAAGGTATTGCCCGCAACGAATTGTTCCTTTTCTTCACCACCATCCTACAGAACTTCTCTGTGTCCAGTCCCATGGCTCCTAAAGATATTGACCTCAATCCCAAGGAGAATGGCTTTGGAAGACTGCCCCCAGAATACCAGATCTGCTTCTTGGCTCGATAACTTGACTGAGGTGCTGTCCCCAGTTCTGTTGAGAATGGACCCTTCTTTTTGCTCCTGAGAATCCTGTTTGAAACCAGGCCCTAGATCAGTGCTAACACCCTTCCAGGTTACTTGCAGCTTCTCCAAATAAATGAGGTGGTTTTATCCTGTGAGTGCCATTGGAGATATCAATCAAGTGCCTTTCTTGGTGTGTGAACACCGAGATTTGTGGAGGTTACATCTCATGCTGAATCATTTCCCTCTTCCTCAGAAACCAATACTCCCAATGTATCAGTTCCCAGTGTTCTGTATTACAATCAAATCGACTCTGTATGTGATCTGAACCCTGCCTCTATAGATTTTCCTACAATGTATGGTTCACAAAGTCAAATGATAAAACATGTGATCTTTGGTATTTGTGTGTCTTTTATTTCAAACAATATTATCTACGTTCCTTGCTTTGCAGTCCACAGTTGCACACATTCAAATGCTTTTATAATGATCTTTCTCAGCAAAATGCACAGCTACTTGCTTTAGTGTGTGCTGGCAGCAGAAAGTGTGGTCAATGCATTCTTCACAGCAGCATTGGTTGTAGTTGATGCAAGACAGAGTCAAGTTAACCCTCAAGAGCATCTATCACACAGCCCAGTCTCTTGTACTCCCAGCTATTGTTACCTGTGATTTCTCAATTTCCAGGCACCTTACATCCCTTCCAGAAGAGCTTCTTTCTGCAAATTCCATCCTATCCATGTCAGCCTAATACTTTCTTCACAGCTCCGCTGTAAGAATCTGGAATTGCTGGTGGATGATGCCAGATGTTTAATATAATGGGAGTGTAACCAATAAATAATCAATTCAATATAGTGACAAATCCAGTTGCTCCTTAAACTTGCCCAATGTCTAAGTGGACCTTCTCTGTCTCTAAACGTTTTCACATTTTTCTGATAACCAAAGTAAATCCTCATTCTCAAAGTGTCCAGGGTGATGCCAGTTCTGTGAGTCATGTGCTTTTACTTCCTTACTACCTTCTGACAGGTGTCTGGAAGTCACCCTTTGAGCATTGTGTCCTGAAACTAAGCTTCTAAACATCATGGTGCTGGCACAAGCAGGCACTTATGGGAAGTGTCATTTATTTAACACCATCACCTAGGAAGATGTCTCTGGGAAGCATTGGCCAGTCAGCAGGCAGCTCTCAATTCAACTCTGAGATACTACATTTCCATTCGATTCACAAAGCTCCTTGTAGCATAGGCAGAGTTACCAGGAGCTTTACCAAGAGAGATTTCTGGCACATCGCCTTCCACCAACTACAGAAATAAGAGAACAGACAAAGCTGTCTGCATTTCAAGAAAAAGGGGACTATGCAGCGTGACAAGGAATGCCATGGCAATCTTCCTTCTCCTGAATCTTTCTAGTCTGAATCTGGAGTTGCTCAAGCTCAAGGACTGTCTCTCTCATGGGCAATGACTTCTGCCTTTCCTGGAGAACATTTTTCAAACAGAACCATAAGCTTCCTCAAATCCTTCCAATGGGTAAGATGTGGAAGAAGTCAGGACGAGGAAGCAGGAGTTAGGAGGTAGAAAATAATGTTTACAGGTACCAAGGAGTTGCAAATCCATGATTAAACTGATTGGAAACTCTGCTCTTTCAGCACTAGAAAAGATTCTTCTAGGATTCTTGTTAGTAAGAACAGTGGGAAGGTAGGTAGGAAGATAGGTTCTGGTATATGTATTGTGTTGTGCATCATAGAGGGGAACATTTGTATGGATAGAGTTTGTGAAACTCCAAGTCTAAAACTGAAATTCTCAGAATAGCTGGGAGCAGGGCCCTCAGGGAACGGTATTTGAGAGATGGTCACCTGAAACCACAGAATTCAAGTTTAACTATTTTCCTAATGTGGCCCAGGCATTGCCAGGGAAAATGATTCAGTGAGAGGAAGGACCCATCACTATGGATAGCTTTTGAGGTCTAGCCCTTGACTCTGCAGCCGAGGGGGGAATATGAAGATATTGTCACAATATACGTGTGAACCCAGCACAATCTATTCCTGAGTGTACGAGAGGCAATATGGGAAGGCCTAGTGGATCGTGCAGAGGCTTTGTCTGGATAGAGTTTATCATTATCATTTTCCCATCTTCTAGAAAAGCAGTGAGTTTGGGCACGGGACGTGTAGCTGCAGAAATCAAATTAAGGTCATTCCTTGTGAACTTCCTGCTATACCACATGAGTCAACTTTTCTCTTCAACAGTGGATAGCCTTGGGAAATTCTTGAGCATTTCTGTGTGAGGAAAATGAAGGATTTTGGGATGGAGAAATGGAGGGTGGAGCAGTGAAACAGGAGGAAGATCAATGTGTGGTGAAGTTTCAGATTCTGGGCAATAATTCCACAATGAGAGGACATAGAGATAGAGAACAGGGCTTGTAAATTCCAAACTGTGAAATACAGAGACTTGTTGTGATCCACAGCCTCTGGCCTTTCCTATTGTTCCTATCCTTCTTTATAGGCCTGATCACTGTACAGTCTCTTATTTTCTGAACCTTCACCAGATGAGAGTCTGAGAGTCAATTACCACCTACTACAAAAATAAGCATTTCTTATAATATTTTTACATGTTGTTGTTGTGGTTGTTGTCTGGTGAGGCAGGGTCTTACTATGTAGCCTTGACTGTGTAGTCTAGAATAGCATTTAACTCACAAAGATCCACCTGCCTCTGCCTCAATTACTGGGATTGAAGCAGTGGGCCACCACTACTGGATAATAAACTTCTCTCATGGCAGAGGGGAGACACTCTAATATGTGACTACACAAATAGGTATTTAGGAGGGGTTTAATACTACAGCCATTAGCAGAACTATGGTAGGTTCACCCCCAGGGCTGATGATCTGGTGGCAGGCATAAGATTTTGTGGGAAAGTATGGTTGCCTGGGAGGTAGCGGTGAAGAGAAACAGTGGGAGGTTTAGAGATCTGCTATAGATTCTACATCCATTGCTCCCAGAAATTTTAGAACAGATGTTGTGATTGACCTAGGAGGATCTTTAGAGCTTCATGGTTAAGAAACCCTTCCTTGGACTTAATGTCAGCATGGCCATTAGCAATTCAGTGCTGGAAAGGCAGCTCAGAAGAGAAGAGTGCTTGCTCCTATAGGGGACTGAGATATAGGTCCCTGTATCCATGCTGGACAACTGATAACTGCCAATAACTGCAGCTGTGGGGACCTGGGGCCCTCAAGAGAGCATGGAAGATAGTGAAGAATGAAAAATTGAGAGGAATAAAGCAAGTTGAGGAGGTCAGGTTGATGGTGCTGGCGATAAAATTATCTGCAGTGCAAACATGAGGATTTCCAGTAACCCCATAGAATGTGTGCATGCAAACACACACACACACATACACACCACACATACACACATCACACCCTATACATACCAAACTCTACTTAACAGCATATATATACACACATGAAATACATACACCAAACAGATACTAACCATGAACACCACACACACCCACACACAGCACAGACCGCCTATATCACCCAAACATATACTGTACACACAGACATATACACATACCACACACACACTAACCATGAACACCACACACACTACACATACCACACACAGACATACCACACATACAGCACACACACATACACACACACTCCACATATATAGATACAGTGTGACTTATAATGTGTCTTAAAATTGACAAAGAAAGTTTGTTTGCAAAATTTCTTTGACAGCATTCATTCTAAGTGATTTTCCATTTCACAAAGTAAATATTTTGCTAATTTTTGCAGTGTTCATGATGAAACTGAAATGAATAAAGGCCTTTATTGTACCTACAAAGTACATTAAATGGAAAACCACTTTATAACTTGAATTTTTCAATATCCTTGAAGGGAGGGAAGTTTTTTTTCAGACTTCCAACGTTGACTTGACATATTTCCTGAATGTCCAGTAGGAGACAGGGAAGATATTTAGGTGTGGGATTTGGCAGTTAAACCAAGTTCCACATTTGTTGCCATGATACAATGCCCTGACAAACAGCAGCACGGTGGAGGAAGGTTTGATTCTGCACACAATTACAGGTTTCAGCACTTAGTAGAGGGGAAATCAAGGCAGGAATTTCAAACAGGTTCACATCACATCCACAGTGAATAGCAGGAAGGAATAAACTCATGCGCCCTTCCTTGCTTGCTTGTGCTTGCCTGACTTTCTCTAGTCTTACATAGTCTAGGTACCCTAACCAGGGGGTGATACTTCACATGGTGGGCTGATTGCTACTACATCAATTAACAATCTACATACCCCCACCCCAAAGCACCACCCAGTGTAGACTCTCCCTCACTGGGACTCTTGCCAAGTGATTCTACCAATGAGACCCTTTCTCTAAACAAAACAAACAAACAAAAACCCTACCACATTCCAGGGTTCTTGGAAAATTTGGTATGGAGATATAGATAAAGGCAGTTAACAATACTAAGGTAGACAGGAAGTTAAAGCATGTGAATTTCCAAAGGTGCAAGTGAAGACACGAACAGTAGGCTACCTAAACAGTCACCCAAGGTCTCACAGCAACGTCAGAGTGACCAACTTTGGGTAAGGTGTAATCTATCAGATGGACCATCTCCGAAGTAGGGAAATTGAAACACTGTCATACCCTCACTTGACAAGGTTCAGCAGTATTCTTTATCTCCTGCAAGTCCAGTTAGAACAATCCAAGGTAGAGGTTGAGATGAGGACAGTTCTTTGACCAAGAGCCCCGTAGCTGAGGAGAGAATGGACTCCACATGGAATAGGTGAGTGCTGTCAGAAGCAATTTTGTCTCATGTCAATGGAGTACTAATTTTGAAACATTTAAATGCCATTTTCTGCAGATCTTTGAAATGTTTGAAGATCAAATATCTATGTCTGACTAACCTCATAGGTATAAGAAGCATGGGTAACTATAATCTAAAATTTTCAGAAACATAATTTCTCAATGGCTAAATCTTTTCAAAATAATTTAGCAGGGACAATGACTTCAAAAATTTAACTATATACATACATACATACATACACACACATATATATGTATGTATACATATATGTTCCTATTCCTGAATTTCTTGTAATTGTATAAGTAATGAAGTTAATACTACATCATTAGGAATAAATTCAGCAGTTTATTGTGTATATTGAGAGTCAGTAACTCTATTGAGAGGTTCTGTAAAATCTGTAAGCATCATAAGAATGGCATAAAACTCTGGCTTTTGTACAGAGTTATAAGGGCTTTGAATGACTTTACTTATATTTCCCGATTATCCTGGCTAACTGCTTTGTTTGCATTAGTGTAGAATGTAGGGGCTCCAGAGATTGGTGTTTTCCTTACAGTTCATGGAAGGATCTAAATGGTTTTCTTGATGAATTTTATT